ACTAAGGAGCATTCTCTCCTGATCCGAAGTATGGGAGTGTCACGCATCATTGTCGCCGTCAACAAACTCGACATGGTGAACTGGTCACAGGAGAGGTTCGACGAGATCAAGGACCAGGTATCTGGCTTCTTGTCTGCAACGGGCTTTCAGAAGAAGAACATTGCCTTCGTGCCAGTATCCGGTCTACACGGCGACAACATTGTCAAGAGATCCGAAAATCCTGCGGTTGCGTGGTACACCGGCCCCACCTTGATCGAAGAGCTGGAGTTATCAGAACCCAGCGCTCGAGCCATGGAGAAGCCGCTGAGAATCAACGTCGCGGAGGTTTTCCGTACACAGCAAAGTCAGGTCACGGTCTCGGGCCGGGTTGACGCCGGGTCTCTACAAATGGGAGACGCTGTATTGGTCCAGCCGGCCACAGAGAAGGCCTTTGTCAAGTCACTTCTTGTGGAAGATGCTCCGGCCGACTGGGCGGTGGCGGGACAGAGCGTGGTGCTGCATCTAAGCCACATTGACCCTATTCACGTTAGGTCTGGTGACATTATCTGCGACCCCAACAAACCGATCCCCAAGGAGAAGACGTTCAATTTGAAGGCGTTGGCATTTGACTTTTTGATGCCGATGCAGGTGGATGTTCACCGGGGGAGGTTGCATGCAGCGGGGAAGATCACGGCGATGCCCGCGCTGCTGGACAAGGTCACTGGTGCAGTGACCAAGAAGAATCCTAGGCTGGTGAAGCCGGGCCAGGTTGCGAGGGTGAGGGTGGAGTTGGACGACCAGGTGCCGTTGGAGGCAGGGCAGAGGGTGGTTTTGAGGAGTGGCGGGGAGACTATTGCTGCTGGCTTGTTGGAGTGATTATCACGATCAATAGAGAGATAAGATGGGGGACTGGGAGGGGTGATTAGACAGCTTCATCGTCAAGCGATATCACTCAAGTTTCTTAGATAGGAGGAGGAGGAAGCGAAGAACACGACATCATTCGAAGATAGATACTCTGTCAACAGTTGTTGCTATTTGTCATCTCTTCAACCACTTCTTTGTGACCTGCCCTGAGAGAGATGTCGTTGGAATTGACATGTCGCCTTATCAATCAATTCAGCTTGGTAGCGCCAAGAGGCCCCACTTGTACATATCTACACCAAAAGCGGGAGGCGGATAGCCGCACGCCGCAACTTTGGGAAAAGGCCACTCTGGCACTTGAGCAGGCAGGGGTTGGTGCCGATGTGTGGTCCGTGACCCACCAATATGTGGGGTATTGAAACTCCAGTGAACAGCTTGCAGTTCCATACCTTACCTCCAAGCTTCCGTTGGACGGACAGAATCGTGTAGAAGCTTCAGTTGGGAGGTTGGAGCATGCCGTGTTAGGACACATTCGGATGGAGAGAGAATGGGGCAAAGGCAAACTTTTGGGTTCAGAAATATTCGACGGGCGCATGATTCAAATGAAGAAATAGCGTTCGTAGCGAGAGACAGATCTAGAATAAGCTAGGCGATTGGATCATGCTGATGAGAGCTCAAGCCATTATTGAATAGTTGACCTTGGTCTTCCAGGCGGTGCATTTGGGAGCTCACGGAGCGCTTCAGGTGGAGTTGAATGAGGTGGATGGCAAAAAAGAATAATCGGACGGGGAGGCTCATGTAAGGTAACTGTGACTCGGAGCAAGAGATCGATATGCGGGGTAACCGGCGGGAGCAGCTCCAAGGCTGCAAGTCACCGCTACTTTTGCTCCAAAGGTTGCATGGGCGAGGGGGGCAAACCAACCAGTGAATTGGCAAGCCCTGCAATGCCCGGAGGGTGGGTGCGGGCTGCTGGCGGCCAGTGCTAAAGTGTGAGGTGGCTAGAGCCCAGAATAAGGACAGATTTCCGATTCACCACCAAAAATTTAAGGAAGACTTTCGAAGGCGTCAGCTTTCGCTCTCTCCCTTCTTCCTTTCTCTCCCCAATCCCAACGATTGATCCACCACTTCGGTAAATCAACGTCCTCTCTTACCTAGTCAGCTGGGAAGATTGGTATTGACGAGAAGCCCATAGTTGGCATTCCTCTTTTTTTCGTACTCTTCGACGACACCTGCGAGCAGGAAGCAAGAGGTTTCTTTTTCTTTCACTTTGTCCGTCACACACATAGCTTTCGGCATGGAACGTCGATCGCGGAGCTGGGCCCTCGGCCTCAGCATTATTGGGTTTTTCGCCCTCCTCTTCTCTGCTGGCTTTGTCCAGCAAGTAAAAGCGGATGACGTCCAAGACTATGGCACTGTTATCGGTATTGTATGTTCAACCCGTCCAAAGCTTTGCCGAATTTCCTGGGAGGACAATTGCTAACGAGCTTTCTTCTACAGGATCTGGGCACCACCTACTCGTAAGTTTTACACGGCCAGCAACCTCGTCGAACGCTCGAACCACACCGACGCTGCTGCTTTTTTGGCCTTTGGCTCAACTGAAGGCATTGGGGACACGGTGTCAACTTTGCAGATCGGCAGTGCGGGGTGTGGAGGCAGAGGAAGCAGACAGACTTGGGAACAAGAGGCTAACTAGACCCTAGTTGCGTTGGTGTGATGCAGAAGGGCAAGGTCGAGATTCTCGTCAACGATCAAGGAAACCGTATTACCCCCTCTTATGTCGCCTTCACCGATGATGAGAGATTAGTCGGAGACGCCGCCAAGAACCAGGCCCCCTCCAACCCTCACAACACCATCTACGACATCAAGCGCCTCATCGGCCGCAAGTTCTCTGAGAAGGAGCTCCAGGCCGATATCAAGCACTACCCCTTCAAGTATGTGCCCAATGGCTCTCGAACAGCCCGAGACAGTTGCTAACTTTCGTCCGCAGGGTCGTTAACAAGAATGACAAGCCCGTTGTTGTCGTCAAGGTCCGCGGTGAGGACAAGACCTTCACCCCTGAGGAGATTTCCGCCATGATTCTTGGCAAGATGAAGGAGACCGCTGAGAGCTATCTCGGCAAGAAGGTCACCCACGCCGTCGTTACCGTTCCCGCCTACTTCAACGACAACCAGCGCCAGGCCACCAAGGATGCCGGTATGATCGCCGGCCTCAACGTCCTCCGCATTGTCAATGAGCCCACCGCCGCTGCTATCGCTTACGGCCTTGACAAGACTGATGGCGAGCGCCAGATCATTGTCTACGACTTGGGTGGTGGTACTTTCGATGTCTCCCTCCTCTCCATCGACCAGGGTGTCTTTGAGGTTTTGGCTACTGCCGGTGATACCCATCTTGGTGGTGAGGATTTCGACCAGCGTATCATCAACCACTTCGCCAAGCTCTTCAACAAGAAGCACGGTGTCGACGTCACCACTGACGCCAAAGCCATGGGTAAGCTCAAGCGGGAGGCCGAGAAGGCCAAGCGCACTCTTTCGAGCCAGATGTCCACCCGTGTCGAAATCGAGTCTCTCTTCGCCGGCAAGGACTTCTCCGAGACCCTTACCCGCGCCAAGTTCGAGGAGCTCAACAACGACCTCTTCCGCAAGACCCTCGAGCCCGTGAAGCAGGTTCTCAAGGACGCCAAGGTTGCCAAGAGCGAGGTCGATGATATCGTCCTTGTTGGTGGTTCTACCCGTATCCCCAAGGTCCAGGCTCTTATTGAGGAGTTCTTTAATGGCAAGAAGGCTTCCAAGGGTATCAACCCCGATGAGGCCGTTGCTTTCGGTGCTGCCGTCCAGGCTGGTGTTCTTTCCGGCGAGGAGGGCACCGAGGAAATCGTCCTCATGGATGTCAACCCCCTTACTCTCGGTATTGAGACCACTGGCGGTGTCATGACCAAGCTTATCACCCGTAACACCCCTATCCCTACCCGCAAGAGCCAGATCTTCTCCACCGCCGCTGATAACCAGCCCGTGGTCTTGATCCAGGTTTACGAGGGTGAGCGCTCCATGACCAAAGACAACAACCTCCTCGGCAAGTTTGAGCTCACTGGCATTCCCCCCGCTCCCCGTGGCGTTCCCCAAATCGAGGTCTCCTTCGAGCTCGACGCCAACGGAATTCTCAAGGTTTCCGCCCACGACAAGGGCACTGGCAAGGCTGAGTCCATCACCATCACCAACGACAAGGGCCGCCTTACCCAGGAGGAAATTGACCGCATGGTTGCCGAAGCTGAGAAGTACGCCGAGGAGGACAAGGCCACCCGTGAGCGCATTGAGGCTCGCAACGGTCTTGAGAACTACGCTTTCTCCCTGAAGAACCAGGTCAACGACGAGGAGGGTATGGGCAAGAAGATCTCCGAGGAGGACAAGGAGACCATCCTCGATGCCGTCAAGGAGACCCAGGACTGGCTTGAGGAGAATGGTTAGTTTACATTGCTTAACACCCAACAAAGGAGAATAATTGCTAACTCTTTTGACCAGCCGCTACCGCCTCCACTGAGGACTTTGAGGAGCAGAAGGAGAAGCTGTCCGGCGTTGCTTACCCCATCACAAGCAAGCTGTACTCCGCCGGTGGTGCCGGTGGTGAGGGCGATGAGCCCGCTGGCCATGACGAGCTTTAAAAAAGTAATTTAGCATCATAGATTCCCCCCATGTTTTTATGCGTTTTTTGATGGCTCGATGAAAAAAAGAGAGAATCATCACACAAATGAAGGTGCTCAGAAGAAGATGATGTGTGTTGCATGTTTGTGGATGCGGTGTTTGTGTTTGTTTTTTTGGGTTGGCTGCAATGGGTATATTTATCATGGTCATAGGAAAGGATGGGCATATTACAAGTGTGAATGTCGTGTGTGTCAGTTGTAGTAGGCGGCGGCGCATCGCGGGCATTGTAAAGTATGTATGAAGTATAAAGTAAAAGAACCTACTTGAAACCATTTCGAGACGACACCTTGCAATACATGTTTTTTTGGAGATGATGTTCTAGGACAATGTTCACAGTGTCTACCTATCTGTGAGGGGATGCCATGATGTGATGAGGATGATGTTTCGAGTCAGAGTTCTTTTCCCAGCCACTGTCAGCACCCACCCACTAACCAACATGGTTGGTAAAAAAAGCAAAAGAAAAAAGGGCTCAATCGGGGATCGAACCCGAGACCTCGCACAAGGTTGAATTTGTTTTTAAATCAAATTCTGGATTTAGTTTTCACATAAAAACCCGAAGCGCGAATCATACCACTAGACCATTGAGCCTGTGTTGTTTACATCACCAAAACAACCATTTACCAAGCAACCCACCCCTCCCTCCTCCCACCCTTCAATCACCACTACCACCTTGCAAAAAGAGTGTGATGCATAAACTGAACTACACCACATGCATAACAAACTCAATATCAGTTTTCTGTTCTTCTCATCTACGAGTACCTCCCAGAACAAAACCCAGCGCAAGTCCATTTGTGTAATAAGGGAATGGTTTTCTTTTGTGGGTATGTTGCGGAGAGGCTTGTGCTCGGGTTTGTGTGAGAGCTTTAATCAGGGATATGATCGGGAATCAATTGTGTTGGTTTACAGATTTTCTTGTTGGGATACTAGGTGATAGCTATCCCTTGGACTCCGTGAGACGAGAGTACCTAAATAATGGACAGATGCATGAGGGGTTGCTGACTGGGTGCTGCCTTAGACACACGGGTATCATCTACGAAAGCCGTCATACAACATAGGCTCGTCCATCTTGCCCCATCTTTTCGAAACTGTCTGGCACTTCCCAATATTTAGCTCAGGAGGAGGAGTGTTCTTTACATTCTCGTTACCGCTTGCCACTGCTGGGTTAACAGAAGGTGCACCGCAAATGGTAGACCTTACCTTGAGATCACCAGTGTTGTCTGCTCCTCCCTTTACCGTTCTTGCCTTAGATTCAAGCGGGCTTAACATGTCGTCACCAGGGCTGCCTCGCCACTTCCCATTTCTCTCCTCTGAAAACTGAGCCATCGTTGTTCTCCCCCTCGCCCTCGACTTCTCCCTCTCCCAGATAGCGAACAGACTTCACATCCTCTTGACATACCACTTACTTCAGTTGTTTATTTGCGCAGCCCAGTTAACTACCTTCACCAATCGAAAATAATTTCTTTTATGCTCAACTTTTTGGATTGTCAACTGCTTGCTCCCTCCCGTCCCAACAAGTGGCACGCCTTGAGTCCATCTGCTGCCATCGTAACTCCCCCCTAAGGCTCGAAAACCGCATATCAACCGTGAGCAAACCGTTCAGCAAGATATGGCGAGACCAACGTTTGAGGCACTTCCGACGGAGCTCAAAAATCGCACATGTGAGCTCCTTGGAGAAACGGATATGCAGAGTCTGCGAAGCTTTGCCCAGGCCAGCTGGGATTCATATGCCGCGGCAAAGAGAACTCTGTTCCGCGATATCACCTTTTACGTCTCTACCCCGTCGCGACTGCGTCAACACGTTGCACAATGCAAAGACCTTCTGGAAAGGCGTGGCTCCTAGGGGGATGTCCGCAGCGTTTTGCTCATTCGTGATGTGAATAATGTGTATTATCTTGATGAGGAGAAAGACTGGACGACGAACCAAGCCCGGCCCTGGAGTCTTTTCAACATACGACGCCCCGACGAGAGAATGATGCAGTTTTACAACATACGACAATCCCATGGCGCAATAGTGGGGCGCCATACCAAGTGGGATCTCGAACAAAGTAAAATAGTTGGTTCCCACAGCGAATTTGGACAAGGGCACGAACTTCAAATTAAACCCAATTCAACTTCGATCCAGCAGATGCACGCTTTGGATCACGTTTGGTTACCAGCAGCCGAGCTGATTCAAGAACTCACCGGCTTGACGGATCTCATCTTTCAGTGTCCCAGCCAACTCCCTCCTTGCCTGCTGAAGGTAGTGCACGAGAAGAGGATTGCACGTCTACATTTGCGAACTTGGTCGCTACGAAGCCTCGACACCCAGTCTTGGGTGGTACAGGACCCCCATGAACTTGCAATCATTAGTTCGCCAAGTCTTTACAGCATCTGGATGCAAACCGAATTCTGTCCTCAGTTGGCACGCCGAAGTACACCGAGCCCTCAAGCAGAGGCTGTCTACCAGATCATGACAACCAAGTGTTTGGCACCCAACCTGCGCGAGCTCCGCAAGTGCCATTATTATGATGGGGGCGGGCACGACGATCTGGCTGTATCACCTTTTGTTTTCAGGGAAGCCAGAAACCTCGGAGAGAAGCTGGAGAGAGGAGCCCGGCTTCTTCCCATTAGGCATCTTGAACTTCTTTATGATGGATGGGACGATGCCAGACTCAACATACTTTCAAGGAGCCATCTTGCACACTGGCAGGCTCGGGTTGACTTATCTGCGTTGGAAAGCCTGAAATTGACGATTTCTCTTGACCAGGAAACAGTCGAGACCCTGTCAAGATTGAGCTTTCCTTTCTTGAGGTCTTTATCTCTCGACTGTGAAATCAGTGGGCAGACCACCTGGCATGCAGTCCACTATTTCAGAGCTGTCAAAAGGTTCTTGAGCACCCTTACGCAGCTGAGAAAACTCCATTTGTGTGGATGGGACCACGAGGCCGTCTCCCTTGGCGCCCACGAGGATGGCGATGGGAACATGTTGGAACCAAATCCCCACCTCAAAGTTCTGTGGCTGAAGCCCGGATTCAGTCTGGATGTTCCATGTAGGGTCGACACAGCCCGGTCCCCTACAGAGCAACAACTATACGATCTCGCGGCCCGCTATCCGGCTATTCAGGACCTATCAGTTTCCATTAGGCGGTCGATGGGTGATGAGGCTGAGGTTAGGCGATATAGAGCTCTCGGTCGTGGCTTCAGAATGTTGGAGAGACTCTCCCTGGAGCTGGAAGCCCACCCTCCTATTCCTCAAATCATCGACCGATTAACACCGGACCCTCGGCTTCCAGGGAACTCTAGCCCCCCTACTGCGCCTCCCCCTGAAGAGGTATATTCAGGCACGACGATGCTACCTCCAGCGGAAGCAACGCGTCTCTGGGATGGACCGGATGGCTTCAGCCGTGAGCTTTTGCCTGTTGGTGAGAGATATACTTATACCAATGGCCACGCCTTAGAGGGCATGGTGAACGCCGCTGTGGACCAGGACTTGGCTCAAGCCATCTATAACACTATTGTTGACGCCAGCGCCACTCCATCCAAATTGAACACGATGCTTCTGAAAGTGCGGGGGTTTGGCCTGTTCTTTGACCCTGTGCATACCGACAATGGGATGATAGAGCTGACTCTATCCCCATTGTGGCGCCAGTCATTTCCTTGGGCGGCGGGCCTGCAGAGGGAGTATCTCATCAAGAGAAATCCCATGCAATCGCCGGATGGACCCGCTACTCCGGCGGCTCAGAAAACTGCACCTAAGATCACGGAATTGGGGGAATGGGCCGTTGAATGGGGGAATGCTTTGGATGCGTACTCTGATGACGCATATTGTGTTCGGTGTTTGGTAAAACCCCAGAACCCGCTCACGAAAATCTTCCGGAAGTTGTGGCCGCCGATTCCCAAGGTTTGCCACAAGGATATAGCATGGGTCTACGAGTGGAAAAGCTGGCCGTTGGCGGGGTAAAAGCCCAAGGGCCGAGGTTGTTCTTTTCTGTGGTCTGGTTGAAAAGAGCCCGAAGGTGATAAACATGTATATATGTATGGTTTGGAATTGGGAGACACACAGTGTTTCTTAGTCGGGAGGTTGGGGGATATTTGAATACGAGGCTTGTAGAGATAGGTGGTTGGTGTAGTGTAGACATTGTGGCAGTCATGAAAATAGTCTTTACATTACTTCCTCAGTGTTTGATCGTAGTGCATTGCATTGCAATCGTTGTTTGCATGTGTGGTGGTGTCTGTGATATGGCGGAATACCACTCAGACAAGGCCAGGGAATAGGGGTTGTGTGAACAAATTAAGGGGCGTTGGCGGGGAGATGGGAAAGATGGAAACGAGGATGGATGTGGAGGTGCCACGCTGTGGATCAAAAGCCGGTAGTGCAAGCAAGTGTTGGATGGGCCTTGAAATGCAGTTAATAGTGTGCATAATAAGAGAGTCGACTGGCTTTAATAGATAAAAGATAGGCCTTGAAAGATAGTTGGTAGACCTTTTAGGATAGTTGATAGGCCTTTCTAAAACACTTATCAAGAGGGGTTTAAAATAATCGATAAGCCCCCTAAGATAGTCGACATGTTTCTTGAGATAATCGATAGGTATGCAAATTTTAAATGTAATCAGGAGACGTATATCTTGTAGACCCAGATGGCAAGTTGTGGTGGTAGCGGTGTCGTTTCTTTGTCCAGGGCGTGGATACTTACCTGCCTATACTTTCGGTGATTATCGTTGATTGTAGATTAAAAGATGAGAAGGTATGTTAAATATATCGAATGTTGAACCTTCTTTAATGTGCTCATGGGCACATAGATAATTATATATAAGATAAAGGTGAGGAGTACCCAGTGCAGCCCGGCCCTTTTTGCAACACCATAATTTTGAAAAAAGGAATAATTAGGGAGGTGAGCCTTATTCTTCTAAGCCCATTCTTCGTGATTGGACATTTTCCTGTGGAGGGTAAGATACCCTTAGCCTTGCCTGTAGGCAAGGATGTCCTTTTGGTACGACATTTTCAAGATAAGCTTTTCCAAATTACTTTCAAGAATTCCTCAGATTGATTGGATTGTTCTTCTTTTTCTATTTTTAAAAACTAAACCATCTGAATATTGTCTAGACTTCACAACAACGCCATCCCAGCATCTCCTCAGCACCGCGTCCGCGCGCGCGCCGTGGTATCAAAAACCGACAATCACCCACCAGGAAGTCGCCTCTCGGTCGCTCTGCTCCTCTCCCCGTCTCTCCAAACCCTTGCTGTTAGCCGAAGCTCGTCACGAGGGTCGGGGGGCGGAAAAAAGTAAAACGTCGCAAGGACGCCGGCGCTAGCGATAACGACAATACCGAAAAGAATTTTTCGAATTATATTGCTACTTATAATTAGCAAAGTGCACATCTTGTTACTAAGTGACTTCTTTAACCGGAGTGACCATGGAGGGTGACGGGCACTTACACAATCCAAGATAGAGCGCTAGGAAGAATTGAAAGGATAGTTTCCTTTGGTATGATGATTATGAATTCTGCACTGGATATAAAACCCCCGCACCGTTTCCCCGAAAGGAGCGCCAAGGTTGTAGTTGCAATTCAGCTCGCGAGCGAATCTTCGGGAGGCAGAGGCAGAGGGT